TGGTCTAGTCCGGAAGCTCTTGGGCCTGGAAGTGAAGGATGCAGGCTGAACTAGCTGGGGTGGTAACAGTGGGACCAGCAGGCGCTAGTGGTCTAGGGCCAGAAGCGTCCCCCTTCTGAGGAGCAGAAGAAAGGCCTTAGTGGTGATGCACGGACAGGGGAGGGCAGGGAGGGAAGAAACAGCTGGAGAGTCCAGCCAGTCCTCCCAGGAAGCCACAGGAGGGACCGAAAGGTCATGGTCAGGGTCCTCTGAGGGGCGGGAAGCCACAAAGCTAAATGCGAGCTCTCAGCTCTGCAACTGAAATGTGCAGTTCAAATCCCCACTGCAGCCGCTCTTCAAATATCATCTCTGGACCCAACCAGGTAAGGCGAGCAGCATGACTGGACGGTATTTCAATAGAAATTATATACACACATATACACACATATACATACACACACAGACACACATATACACACACAGACACACATATACACACATATTCATACACATGTACATACATACACACATATACATATATACATGCACAATACACACATATACACACATATATACATAAACACACATATACACACATATACATACACATATACACACATATACATGCACACACATATACATGCACACATATATATACACACATACACATGCACACACATATACATACACACATACATACACACGTGTATGCGCGCATATATGCATACATGCATATATGCATACACGTACGTACACGCGCATAAATGCACATATATACATATACATGTGCACATATAAGCATACGTACATATACATACACGTACATACACATACACACATATACATACACACACGTATATATGTGTGTGTGTATATATGTATGTATAATTTGCCTCTTACCATCTTGGGGAATGTCTACAATCACTGCTAAGTTATCATCCCTTTAGATCCTGGTTTTCCAAAGATGGCCACAACAGTATCTCCCATCACATGTGCTCACCTTACCATGTATCCTGACGATCCTCCATAGAGTAAGTGGTGGCATCAATGTCCCCTCTCCTTGAACGCGGGTTGACATCTGTCACTGCCCTAACCAACAGAAAATAGTGGCAGTGGCGCTATGCAACACCTGAGGCTGACACATAAAAATGCCAGGCACGTCCACCTTGTTCTCCGGGACCCCAGCTGCCACGCTCTGGGGAAGTTCAACCAAGGCACGTGGAGAGGCCGTATGGAGAGGCCACACCTAGGTGTTCTGGTTGACAGCCCAGCTGAGGGTCCAGCCAACAACCCTCATCAACCCCAGACACGGTAGTGATGTTGCCTCCAAACGACTGTAGACCCAGCTGTCAAGTCCCCCAGGCCTTCAGTGTCTCCAGCTGAGGCCCCAGACATCATGGAACAGAGGCATCCCCACTAGGCCCTGACCAAGTAAGTCCCTGACACAAAGTATCCTTGAGTAAAAACATGAAAGAGTCGTTTTACACCACTATTTGGGGGTGATCTGTTATGTAGCAACAGCAACTGAGCCAAGGAGTATCTCAAAGTTTACACGTATATACCTGCGTATGACTGTCCTCCTTCACTATTCACCACCCTAGGGACCTTTAGGAGGGGACGTCTCTAATTACTCCCAAGTTAGGACCTCTGGGCTTTGTCCACACCACTTATGGAAAAAGAGGACCAGGTTTCTTACTGCAAAGAAAAATTAAACACTTTTAAACTACTCAAAACATACAAAGTGATCCATCCACACTGCAAAAAAATAAAAGAAAATCGCGTTAGCAAATCTGACACCTTATTTCAACTGGCTCTGAAAACAGATCAAAACCAAGATCTTCATCAACAACAGCTAAATAGGGCACCGAGGGCTCTTCTTTCCTTCTCCACCACTGGAAGCTCAAGTGTCTGCAGCTTCAAGGAGGCAACGCATAGAAAGGGGACTTAGCCCAGGGCCTGGCACTCGAGAGCCTGCCAAATTCCGGTTAATATTATTATTGCTTTTGTTGTTGTGAGAATTAACATTTTACTTGATTCCAGCGCTAATTATTCCTGACTTCAGCTTAACAATGCTCCTGTCCCATCTGAGCAGGAAAGAATCTATACTGAGCTTGGTTAGATGTCCTGAAAGGGATCTCCGAGTCCATACAATTAGAAATGTTATACAAGATTATATAACATAACTTCCACACATCTCTATTCTGGTTTGGTGAAAGAACTGTCCTTTTTATTTAACAAAACAAAAGAAAAATCAATATATGTCAGAAAAGAGGCTTCTAAGAAATAACACTTAATCACTGCATGGTTTTCAAGGTGAATAAATAAAAATGTCACCTTTGATCATTACGAAGGTACCCCCCTATGTGGTTATATAAATATTACAGGGCTTCCCTGGTGGCGCAGTGCTTGAGAGTCCGCCTGCCGATGCAGGAGACGCGGGTTCGTGCCCCGTTTCGGGAGGATCCCACATGCCGCGGAGCGGCTGGGCCCGTGAGCCATGGCCGCTGAGCCTGCGCGTCCGGAGCCTGTGCTCCGCAAATGGGAGAGGCCACAACAGTGAGAGGCCCGCATAACGCAAGAAAAAAAAAAAAAAAAAAAAAATTACAAAGCTGCACCCAGATGGTGGCATGAATACCAGGGGACACAGGTGGGATCAAAGAGCCAGGTCACCTCAGGCTGGTTTCTTCCTCTGCTCCCCAACTGCTGTGTGACCTGAAGCGAAACACTTGGCCTCTCCAAGTCACAGTGCCTTTAACATAAGGCTAAATTCCAAACACTTTAGCCATACTGAAGGACCCTCAAGTACAGCATCCCCCACGTTTCCGGGGTAAAAGTCATTATTCACATGGTTGAGTATGCTGAATGGCAACCCCTCAAGCAAAATAATCACTTGCAGATTCACACACGTTAATCAGTATCTTAAAAAATTATCTCGAAAAACCTGGGCCTTGCAAAATCTTACTGTGCATCGTGTAATGAAATTATCAATATCTAGTGGAAGAAAAGGTGATCTGAGACAGAATTACAACTAGTATGCCATCCGCCAGCCCGATGGCACACACTCCCCCCACTGACATCCACTGTTATCTTCAGTTACTGGGCTGGGGGTCTTCTCAAGCGCCACATTTATGGGAGGGGGTGGAGAGGCAGCAGGAGAATGTGGATGGGGACTCCCTGGCAGTTCAGTGGTTAGAACTCCATGCTTCCACTGCAGGGGGCACGGGTTCAATCCCTGGTCGGGGAACTAAGATCCCGCATGCTGAGCACATGGTGCGGCCAAGAAAAATTAAATTAAATTTAAAAAAAAAAAAAAAAAAGAATGTGGATGGAAGGAAGGAGAAGACAGATCAAGGGAAGGTATGGAGGAAAGGGCTGTGCATGAGTCCCTAACAGGAACATTTCTGTCCGTCTCCAAATGACATCTAGTCACCAAGTTTCAAGCTTGCTGAGCGTCTGACACCTCCTCCCTCCGAACATCCCAGCTTTCCCAGGGCCCAGGCAGCCCCCTGCCACTGATGGACTTAACCATCTGGGTCACATCCTCTATCCAGAAAAATGTCTTTTGTAGCCTTGAAAGTGGTGGAATTCGATGGCTCGGAGAACCCCAACCTGCAGGAAAATGGCCGGCATGTAAGCGACTTGGAACTCCCCTTTCCAAAGGCGGCAAGAAGTACGGACTGGCTTTGCACTCATCAAAACTGAGAAGATGAAAAGGGGGTTAATGAAAACCCTCTCTGTGAGAATCGGCCAGGAACTGCTTTTGGCAGGTCAGACTCTGCCCTTGAAGAGGTCGTGCCTCCCTCACCCGGCACGGTCACCTTCCTGATGGCAGTCCTCATGGCCAGAGAGTCTGGGATCCAGGAGAAGTGGAGAGAACCCGGGAGTCTCAAGGGCTCCACTGAAGACCAGGACGGGCTCTCTCCTTTGACCATATATGCTGAAGTCGGCTAAGACCTGGACCAAGACCCACCATCTGCTTTCCCCACCAGGCACGAGACAGTCAGCTGGGGGAGGTCCCGTTTTTAATTGATAGCACCCTTAAAAATATTTGACCATCACTATCCAAATGCCTTCATTCTGCACTTCATAACACCTTGTATTGGAGCTCCGTCTATCTTAACACCAAAGCCTGTATCTGGAACTGCTTTTCCTCACGACCATTTCCATGGCTGTTTTCCCAGGAACCGTGCCACTTGAATGGCCGGGACATAAAACCGTTTTACAACAGTTATTCTTCCAAGACTTTCCTCCGTTTCTTTGACAGCTGCACACCCAGGGTCCAAACTCTTTACCGTGGACAACTGTTCTGGGCACACTCCTCCACCAGGTCTATTTCAGCTCAAGAAAGGCCAAGGACAAAAATAAGACAAAAGTTGTGGGTAAAGGGGGCTCCCACCGCAGGGCACCCTGAGAGCAGTGAACAGAATGAGGGACAGTCCAGCCTAATGGCTTCTTCCCCGGCTGCAAGTCCACAAAAGGGATCCGTCTTCCCAGCGAGTGGTCCACGGAAGAGAACCAGTTCCAAACCCTAGCCGGGGGCCAGCACTTCTTTCCTATCAGGAGTTCCCGGCACCTGTTCTGGAAAGGCGGGGATGGAGCTTCCTACCCGGTCCATCCCGCCTGAGAGGTTTCGAGAACTGTATGCTCACCAGTCAACCAGCCCCCCCTCCACAAGCCAAGGAGTGCACAGGTGGTCACGGCGCACAGGGGCCCAAAGCTCACCAGGACAACTTTATTACTGGCCACGGGGCACTCGTTTAGGAGAACCGTCCCCGCCGCCGCCCCCAGTCCCTCCAGCTCGTGGCAGGAAGGGCAGAGCCGGGAGGCACAGGTGAGGGTTCCCAGGGCAGCTAGGCGCCCAGCGTGCCTGCCGCGGCCCCACCGCGTGGTCCTCGCCTCCGGGGCCCCCTCCGAGGGGCAGGGGGCGTCCTCGGCCCGGCCCCCCCGCCCGCCGGCCCAGCCCGGGAGCCCGGCACCGCCGGAGCCGCAGCGCCCACTCGGGGCGGGCGGCGAGCACTCACCGTCGTGGTCCTGCATGCTCGACAGCGACCAGAGCAGCAGCGCCACCAGGGCCAGGAAGCCTATCTGGCTCAGCAGAAGGTCCCTCCGGCGGCTCCGGCGACGCTCGCGCTCCTCCTCGTCGGGCGACGGCATCCTCTTCGGGCGGCAGGGCAGCGGCCCCGGCTGGGGCCCCGGCGGGCGGCGGCCGCTC